GATCGACGTTGCACGTTGACACCTCTCCTCTCAAATTCGATCATTGGGATCTTGCTCTTTAGCGAGGACCTTTTCGAAGATCCCGTATTTTGCAGCGGTCTTTTGGAATTTGCTAACAATTGCGGCGGTTACGGTCATATATTGTAGTGTCAGATGCTGAATGTTTCTTGTTATCTTCACTAGTCCCCAATCGAATGATTAAACTTTAGATACGTGTTCTAAAGTTGGGGATTTTTTAGGAAATCTATAGATTTAGTTCTTTTAAAATGTGTATGTGTGTAGGTCCCTGTATGGAAATGACGACAAACTATGTGTACAGTGGCAATGTGGTTGCAATGGTTGTTGGTGCAGGTGGTGGTGGTGGTGGTGGTGGTGGTGGTGGTGGTGGTAGTTGTGGTGGAGGTGCGTTGAAAGTGGTGGTGATGGATTGGGATGGTGATTTGTGTGTGGAGCGTTTGGAGGCGGTGGTGATGATTTAGAGGTGGTGCTATGTTGGTGATGCATGTGGCGGTGGTGAGGTGACATGGTATTTTTTTTCGTGGTAGCAATTGTGGTGGGGGTAGAGTTGGTGGGATGAAGATTGTGACCAATTATTGAGAAATTGCAACAAATAAAATGAGTAATTTATGACTAATAAATAATATGCGACATAAAAAATGTGTGGTTTGTGATTATATTTGTAATTGTGACCTATAACAAGTTGTGACAAATTAATTTGATAATTTATGATCGTGAAATAAGTTGTGATCATTTAATTCGATAATTTTTATCATACGATGAGTTGTGACTACTTAAGTTGACAAGTTTTAACCTATGAAAAATGTGTAATTTGCGATAAAATTTAAAATTGTGATATATAAATTGTATCTTTATGATTGTAACCTTATGTGGTCTGTGACTAGCATGTGACTATAATTATTGGTTGTTAAGTACATGTGGATGAATATTTTCACCTTTTCAATAATGCGGATGATGATTGTTACGTTGTGCATGAAATACTGCTTTTTATGATTGTTATTTAATATAGTTTAATTTTTGGTTAGATAAAATTTGTGATACTATATTTTTGATAACAAGTCATACTTATACGACGTGTGACATTCAACATGTTAATGGTCACATGTCACAAATAACTTAGATTTGGTCACAAAGAGTCACATTTAACATATAAATGATCACAAGACATTTAAATGTAAACATGTTTTGTCACAAAAAATTATTGTTAACAGATGTCTAGTTACATGTCATTGTTAACAGATATGATCATATACAGTCATAGTTAAGACATACATGATCACGAATAGTCACTATGAAGATAAACTTGATCACAGTTGGTCACAGATAATATATCTTTGGTCATAAACAATAATAGCTTATACAGACATTGTCACAAACAATAATAGTTTATACAGATCTGGTTACAAACAATACAAAACACACAATTAATATGTCAAAAATTATTTATTGATCGTAAATGACTTGTTTTATTGATCACAATTACCCAATAATTGATTACAATCCCTCTTATCCCACGACCACTCCACCACCACCACCCAAAAGCCCTTTCCTTGTTGCATTTCCTACATTTGATTTGATTGTTGATCAACCACTCCCCATCGCCATAGTCCCAATGAAAAATTTAAGACACATGAGTTAATTTACAAATAGAATGAAAAAACTAACATATAGTTGAATTTATATTTCATCGTGAATAAATACTGTTATGCCGCTTTTTCAAGGCCCAAGAGACGGGGTGCCACGTGGTGGACCACATGCCACTTGGCAAGTCAACAAGAAAGTCAAACGAAGACCCAAGAGGTCAGGGTATGAAGAAGTCAAAATGCAAGTGAAGGCACTGCCTCAAGGAACCATTGCCTAAATGAGTAAAGAAAGGAGTTGAAGCTCTCGACTTCGAGAACCCCCTTTGTCCGAGGCTCTCTAACTCGTCTGAGGGCCTTTGGAGTTCTCCGAGGCTCTAAACCATCTGATGTCATAAAGTTGACGCTGTTTCTTGTAATATATTTGAAGATCTTTTAGAAGTGATTGATGTGATGCCTGCAATAAAGTGTGTCAATGTCAGTGTCGGTGTGTGAGCCTATAAATAGAACGGCAGACCTTTTGTCAAACATTAATTGCATGAAGGAGATAGTGATGTGAAGCTTCAGTATAGGAGATGTTGCCACATGATTTTGATCCTACGGCCACCACTTTGGCTAGAATAGTATAAATAGCCCCAACTTCTATGAAAAAGGGGTTGAAATATGTGTAATCTTGAGATAAAATATTGGTAGTATCTTCATAGTGGTAAAGAAAACAACTTGGAGAAGAATTACATGTTCTATATTCACTTTGTATACACAAGCAACCAAGGTGCTAAGATTCAAACACAAAAAACCATCTTTCTATATCTACCATTCAACATATTCCATAAGAAAAGAGAGAGATTCATTTTGAGAAGTCTACCCGACAGTCGTTGATTGTGCGATTGTCGCCAAATCAAAATAGTCGGAGTCCGAATGTCATCGTCTTTTCCCGAAAAGTGCCTCCTGCGTCCTTTCAAATCTGGCTACCATTTTGATTCCCCGTAGAAACGCGTCGGATCCATACTTGACGTGGCAAGAGTGGCCCGACATCGTTGAGTTCATTT